GGCACATGTTACCAATGCAGTACTTAACACTCTAAACTGGTGTTTATTTAATTGCAGCACCTCTCCTTTGTCTCCTAGTAGACATAATTTATAAATTTACTATTAATACTCAAAGTGCTTTTTGCCAATAATACTTCCAGGGAAGTACAACTTTGTTAATAAGTATCTTTACACTGAGGGACTGTGAGTCTTAAATCTTTTAAAAAATGTTGCTTTCTTTTTAACAGGGGATGAACTGTTAAATGTTCGGGTTTGTATGTTCAAACAATGTGAGCAGAAGGGGGAGAGGAAGGCTGCATGACCCGCAAGCGCATGTTAGAGGAAGTAATTAAGTCTTTGTTATGTAAAAGTGTTTTAACTTCAGTTATTGGGATATGGTTATTTATTTTACTCGCCTCCTTACAGCTCCGACAGTTTAGAACTTTTGCATCCACATTATTCTCAATCTGGCCTGCTTATGTGTGCGTGTATATCTCGCCTTGCCAGTTACAGTCTGTCTGCAGCTTAAAACTAAGCCCCAACAAGATTAAACAAACCGCAAGACAAATTGTTTAATTCCTTCAAATATTTCACATATTTTACGCAGTTACAATGAAAATGTTTTTTGCCAACACAGCATAGTGAGAGAAGCAAGAAAACAAACGATGAATCGAGCTTTCAAACTGTTTTGTTTTTACTTTGAAAATAAAAGAAAATCACCGGTCGTCGTTGTGGGACGCGATTGACAGTTTTGTAAAGTGGAGATGGAGTAGGAGCCCAAGTTTCTAAGAAAACTTTAATCCTCTTAATTCTCACTCTAGGTTGAGCTGGATTTCATCTAGCTGTATTACCCTATCTGCCCCGGTCCCTGTGGGCTTATCAGGCTGATATCCCTTTCGATATGCTGTATACACAGCTGACTCCACGCCAGATGGGAGTGACTGTCATTGCTCTCACCTTTCCCAGTTTGTACATGCTCGGTGGTAGAAAGCTCATTCCTCAATGGCACTTTCTCTTTCCATCTTTCTAAATTCTCCCTTGGTGTCTGTCTCCTCATATCTCTCCCCTTCTCCTTCCCTCTGCCACTCCATTCAAAAGGCTTCTCCCTGATAATACTTCAATGTCAAATCCAGTCAGAAGGCTGTAATTCTCAGCGGGCTGTGACTCTGGCAGGCAGCAGTGCTGGAGGAGCTCCCTGCGTGTGTGAGATAATTCTGCATCTTACTGCTGCTGGGAACTTTAGCTGCTCCACAGTGTTGTGCCAAAGGGAATAACGTCATCCCAGGAGAATGACGCGAGAGGAGTAAGCGGTACATTAAAGTACATATATGTGCAGAACTGTTTGCGAAGCATGTTTTCATGTACGCACTGTGAGAAGTGCCTAAAAGTCCATGCGAGAGTTTGTGTGCAAGTGTCTACATTTGCCTCACGTAAGAGCCTGCGTCATTACACACAAAGACGCCTTAGGGGGGAAAAAAAGAAGTTTGGCCACAAAGGGACAATGGAAGCTTTTAACTGGTAGTCATGGCAACAGAGGAAAGGCCTGTCTGAGATAAAGGACTGCCAAGAAAAGCCACGTTTAGATTACAGCGGAAAATGCTTCCTTTTAATCTTAAACGGCTTTTGTTTGCAGTCTCTGCTATGATAACACAGACGTGATAAGGAGGAATAAGCACGATTGCGGGATGATTCGTTAAAAGTTAGCTTCCACAGCATGTTTAAGAGAAAGTTAAAGTGGCTGAGGCTTCAATGAAAAAGAACAGCAGCAGGATATTTTGCCAGGTGCCAAAGGTCACATGGTGTTATGTGTGAGAAAGAGACAAAGAAAACAAAAAGGAAGAAAAACAGAGACATATAGTAGGGGTGCAATGATACACAAAATTCACGGTTAGATATTTTTTCGATACAAAAAAAATGTTCCTGCTTTTTTAATTTGTCATTTATTAAAATTATAAATATATATTTTAACTCAAAAGTACAGTTTTTAAATTTAATGTTGCTGAAACAAAGTAATAAAAAAAATAAATCTATCTGATCAAGAAATCACTCATCTTTGGAAAAGAGAGTTCATTACAGAGAAATGTCTCTTTCCAAAATAAAAGCTATACTATACGCTTCTTCTGGGCTATATTTTCAGC